TTCCTGCTGTTCATATTAATAAACACTTGGCATCTTTTTCTTTCACCCACTCTGGAATAATGAACAATAAATAACTTTATATAACCTTAACGTAGTTCTTAGGAAATAAAAATGTTTTGATTTTTAGGAACCGTGCTGGCTTGCAGATAGTTTATCAGTATCTAGATAGCAATGCATCCTTATTGAGTGGGGAAAACAGCATCGTCCTGGGGCTGCACAGATCTGTGTTGGTGAAACTGATCCTTCTGCAAGAAGCAGGAAGTGTGGAGGAGTCAGGGAAACCTCCCAGGAGGAAAAATGATCAGGATTCCTCTGCTGATGGTGCAGGGGAGCATATTCAACAAGTGATATTTCTGTAAATCATTTGGTTAAAAGTTTGGAAATAGATCTAACGTGGTGAGTCCTAGTAAATCTTAGAGTTATATAGCGCTCCATTGGTTCGATTTTAGGGATCCCCTAAATTAGGTGATGATTTCCATGCTAATACCGTATCTGTCATTTTAATTTAACACTTTAATTTCTCAGCTGGAATTATATTTTATGTTACTGTAATATGAGGGACTAATACTGAGGTTTTTCCTATAATAATCCAACATATGTTTGCTGTTGATTATTTTGTCTTTCACGTAGCATAAAACCTGGTTTAATTTTAATGTTTTGGGGTTTTTTTTCCCCAGTTGGACATGAACCTGAACACTGGTCTGTCTACAGGAGGTATCTTGAATTTTATGTGCTGGAGTCAAAACTAACGGAATTTCACGGTATGTTCTCCAGAATTTGAAAACCACTTTCCCAGCTGAAATTTAAAATAGTGAAACCAATGCTTGCTGTGTTATAAGAATAATTTAATATCCTTGATGTCTTTATTAGGTACATTTCCTGATGCCCAGCTTCCCTCAAAGAGAATCATTGGCCCCAAGAACTATGAGTTCTTAAAATCCAAGAGAGAGGAGTTTCAGGAATATCTGCAGGTATCAAACAAACTTTTGGAACAAAGAATATTCCAAAACTAACGATATACAACTAATAAAATAATATCTGCTATTTTTGTTGTTGTTGTTTTCAAGTAACTTCAGTTATGGAAAGAGTTCAAGTGGGCAAAAATTGTTGAAAGAGAAACTAATTTTTAAATATTAGTTTTAAAGTGCTTCTTTCTTTTCTTCTGTCTCAAAGAAACTTCTGCAACATCCAGAGCTAAGTAACAGCCAGCTTTTAGCTGACTTCCTGTCCCCTAATGGAGGAGAGACTCAGTTTCTTGATAAAATGCTGCCTGATGTGAATCTTGGTATGTAATGTGCTCGTTGCTTATGCTGACAAATAGTAATACTGTAAAGATTGTGGCTGAACAATAGTAGTAATGAACAGATGTTAAGGATATGGAAGTGGGAAATAGGAACTCTGCTCCTTCACTGCCCTTAAAATTATGGCTCAGCAAGCAAGATTCGCTGATAGTTTTTCCCTGAAGAAAAAGGACATTTTGAGATTGTGGGAAAAAACAGTGTTTAAGTGGTTGCTTTTGAATCTTTATGTCAGTAAGCAGAGTGATAAAATTTCTCTAACAAATTTCATAGCTCAAGAAGACTTAGCGTATTGTCACGAGTTAGATCTGCACAAGTCATTTTTGCAGGTGTGATGGTATAAATGATTTCTTAATATAAGCTACCTTTGGGTGTTAGTTGATTTTAATCTGAAAAACGCAATATTTAATATTTCTAGTATTAGGTAGTGTTAAGATCTCCCTGAACATAAGCTACTTAATAGAATTTGAGGCAGTGGTGTGTGTGTGATGTAGGCAGGCCAAATGGAAATTGAGAAGTTGAGAAATTCTTGATGTCTAACGTAACAGTTGATAATAAATCCAAAAAGCAGACTGCAGTGTAGCTGTCTCAGGATAGTGGGCCTGAGCTGGAGAGGTTGACCTGATGGCCGTTCTGTCTTTGTGTATGATAGCACCATGGTTCTGGCACCAGCATGGGCCAGGGAAGCTGTGTCTGAGCTGTGCCACTGCGTTTCTGCTTGTCCCAGCCACGGTGTGCACCCACTGAGGTGGCCATTCTCATAGTGTGCTCACCCAGGTGTTGCTTCAGATTTTGGTAGTTGTCCTCCAGTTAAAGGGTTTGTTTTGTTTCAGACCTCCCCTCTAGATCCAACTGTACGTTGTTAAAAAAGCTTATAATTATGGTGTTTACTGTAGTGCATCCTATGTCTGAGACACTGCTTCACTTCCATAAACATCGTTTTAACAAGTCTTGGCATTTCAGTAGGGCTTTCTGGGAGAATGAGCGATTTTATTATTATCATTTGATCATTGTACGTACTTTTTGATGTAAGTTCCAAATTTAACGACATGTAGATAAGAAAAATGATACTGTAAATAGAGTGCTTAAGATAAAACTAATCCTAGACACTTTATTTTTTCAGCATTCAAAGTTGCTATGCTATATCCTAATAGCCTTAACAGGACAGAAGATTTTTAAGACCACAGCTGTAGCCTGTCTAACTTGTAAAACTTTTCTTGCCACTATTTTCAAGACTGGATCCTTCCAGAATCTCTCCAGATTAGCCAAT